CGTAGTTAAGTAGAAGAACATCTTCTGCTGCCAGCGCTTGAAATCAATCCCGGAAAATTTTTCAGGTTTTTCTGCCGGTGTTCGGCTTGTCGATGCGTTGGCAGTCACCATCGGAATAGCTTGGTTTTCGCTTTCAGTCGTCATTTTTTCTGTAAAAGAATGACACAAAGAAACGTTTAATACACGTTTTCAAACTGGAGTAAAAAATCACGTAGATTTTAATCTCCAAATCCGAAGCCGAAGCCGAAGCCGACGACGACGGCGCGAGGCTTGCTTTCTTCTTAACTCTTTAAGAGCTACAAGAAGAGCAATTATATATATACCCACCAAAAATCTCTTCCTCTTCCAATATGGGACAATGTCTCATTGTCAAGAGGGGGAAACTTAAAATTTTACTCAAAAATTTCATTTTCCCTCCATTTCCCATTCACCCTCATTTTAAGACTATTTCATCTTAAAAATTAAAACCTCAACAAAACATTTCGACTAAACACAAATTATATCGCGCGAGCAGATACTAACAATAAAGAAGATCTATCTAAAACATATAAGGGTACGCAGCAGTGTCTTTACTCCATGCGATGCTCTAACATTAAAGATATATGTAGTCTCCGATCCTTTGCAATGCATTCCAGTTTATGCTTTTCTTTTCAAATACCTTTTGGTTCCTTTTCATTCAGATGGGATATATACACTCAGTATACACCATTTTGACGATATGAGCCATCTGTGACCAATTGTGGTCTTCGTTAATTGAATTTAATCAACAGCAGGAGGAAGACACAATGCGACGTGTTTTAAAAAGCTTAACTGGAAAAGAAAAGGAGTTCATTTTTTGTTTTTTATTTTTTATTTTTGTGTTCCTTTAGGTTAATTTTTAACTTCTCTTTCTTTTTCATAAATATTGTTGTCTTGGAGTTGATACCCTGCACTGACCATTTCAATAACTGTTCATGATATCGACCGAACCAAACAAACTGATCGAACAGACAATTTCGATTTATTCAGTTTTTCAGTCGGTTAGCGGTGTTCAATTCGATGATCGGTTTTGGGGCGCGGTTAGTTTTGTAAATATGTTGCTATGCTTAACTCGTTATGCAGAAAGTAGGTTTGTTAGCTTGTGTGAGCTTTCATCCTATTACCCCTAAATAGACGGTGCAGTTTAATTTTTGTAGTACCGGAGGGATAAAGAAGGTATGATTGGAAGTAATTAAGGACAATAAAAGCTTTTTTTTTTTTCCTTTTGGCTAATTAACTTTGACAGCAAAAGTAAGAAACAGGAATTTGACTATTCTGTGCATCATAAGATATGGCAATTATATTGTCATGTGAAATTGAAGAGCAAAATTAAGCTAACATTTAATAATTGAAACTTGATTTTCAGTGGAGAAAACCTCCAAAGGATCGGGCCAAAATCGACCGAACTAAACCGAAAATTAATCGATTGTTCCGATTTTTTGTACACCAAATCAATAACCGAAAATCAAACAAATCAAACCGAACTTCTTGAAATTTGAACTGCACCGACTGACGCCCACCCCTGATTCTGTGCAAAAAAACTATAATCAAAATAAATCTTAAGGCATGACTTGACTTGAAATTCAAGTATTCACCTACGGAATTTGTGGGTTTCAACATAAGATCATGTTAAGGTCAAGGCATTCCTTTGTTCTGAGGCCGGCAATCAAAGAAATGGTCAGCTATCATCTTCTCTAATATTCTATGATCCAAATCTAACTCAGAGATAAAAATCCAGACAATCAAGACCCAAGTCGGCTAACTTATTAAATACTCCCTCCCTCCGTTTCAATTTATGTGAGTCTGTTTGACTGAGTATGGAGTGTAAGAAAAAAATGAAGACTTTTGGAATTTGTGGTCCTAAACAATTCAAAAAGGGACCCAGAATATTTGTGTGGTCATAAAAATTTCTCATTAAGGGTAGAATTGTAAGTTTAACCAAAATTGTTCCAAATTTAGAAAGAGGTTATTCTTTTTGCAACAGACCAAAAAGGAAATAGGTTCAAGAGTCATGTTTGACCAAATACCATAAATGCACTTCTAATTTTCCATAAATTACAAGAAACTCCAACATTTAGATGAAATTACATACTGACCCACGTCCGTTACAGTTGGTTTAACTTCCTTTCCGACCAACTTGCGCGTAAAATCAGATTCTCCACCAATCGCATCCATCGACGCGTGATTACCATGCGCTTCCTTCTTCCTTATTTCCAGTTGTCAACGTTTACCAAAACCCCCTCTTGATTTCCAACTTTTTCACTTTCCTAAAACCCTTTGAAACTCTCAAAATCATCACATTCTTATCCTTTTAAAAGCCCCCATTTTAAGCAAATTCTCAGTTTAAACGTTTCTTCTTAAAACAGCTAAACTTTCAAAAGTTTCTTTGTCTTTTGCTTTATTCAAAGTTCTTTTTTTTTTTTTCTTTTTCTGATTGTTTTCAAAATTATTCACCTCTGATTCAAAATTGTATTGAAGCAATAAGTTTAGAGGCTACCCTTTTGCCAATTTTGGATTCTTGAAAAGGCTTTAGTTTGAAGCAATGAGTTTTGCTAATACCCTTTTGCTAAATTTGGATTCTTGAAATAAAAAGCTTTAGTCTTTTTTCATTGTTTTAAGCTTCTGAAGCTGCATTATTTATTCTTTACTGTTTTAAAGTCAAATTCACGTTTCAGTGGGCTTGTTGAGTAGAGCGATTGCAGATCTTTAAAGGGGTTTTAAGCAAATTAGTTGTTGGTTGAATCCTGATCTAGAAATGGAACCGGTAAGATTCGCATTGGGTAAGCAATCGTCCCTTGCACCGGAAAAGGGGGTTGAGGTGGCAGTGGAAATTGAGAGCGAAGATGGAGAAGAAGGTGATGTTGTAAATATTGATCCAAAGATCAGGTTGATGTATTCAGCTAATGAGGGTGATATAGAGGGGATCAAGGAGCTTTTGGACTTAGGGACTAATGTAAACTTTCGAGACATTGATGAGAGGACTGCACTGCATGTTGCTGCTTGCCAAGGTTACAGTGATGTTGTGAAGCTGTTGCTTGATAATGGGGCTGAAATTGATCCCAAAGATCGATGGGGAAGCACGGTATATCTCATGAAACTAGTTTAATTAGCATATAGTTTCTGTTATTACTACTGATTGTTATAGTTAGATGATCTCTGATTAAGAATATGATTTTCGATTGTTTGTTAGTATCATCATTTTTGGGCAGTTAGCTGGTGATTGGTAAAAAAGTTTGCGATTGTATCTGTATTGTCGAACTAGGATTTTCTTCAGCTATAGAAAGATGCAGGTGTGATGTTGAATATTTGTCACTTGGTTTTTCTTTCCAAGTTTATCCCGGATAATTGTGGACTTGAGGTAATCCTCAGATGGCGTGTGTTGCTATCCGTTCACTCTGGTTAAGGTACTTTTGCTGTTGGCAATTTGCTAGATGAAAAGCATTTGCCCTTCCATTTGCATCGACTTGCGTTTATGGTAGTTTACTTTGTTAAATGGCACAATATGGTCAAGAACTTATACTAAAGCATAAAAGGCCTTGGTAGACGTTAGTACCCTTATGAGTCATGTGAATATTATAAAACGAGGAACTTTATCAGCTGTAAGATATTTTGAGGGTAATTACCAAAAATCAAAAAAAGAAGATATTTGAGGGTTCTAAAGCTCACACGATATCTGTTCCTTGTGAGAGGAGAAAGCAAATGTATGAGGAGCTATTATAGTCTCTTCATTTATTTGATGAATGTCAAACATCCTAAAGTTATTTTTATACTTTCCAAAACCACCATAAGGTTTACATATGAAGACTTGAGAGCCTTTCTGCTTCTTTAAGAAGCTAATATGTCCTTTCACACAAATATGCAGTGAAATTAAAGAGTTTTTCTATATGCATGTTATGTTTGTAACATTAGAGGAGCTTCAAAATTCAAATTGATCATCTAGGCGCTGGTAGCCAAAGTTTTTTTTTTGACTAAAACATTTTACATCATTGGGTAAATTTGAATCTTTTAGCAAATTTCGAGTCTTCTAGCTCCTCATTATTCTATAAATTACAATTACTTGCAGAAATGAATCAAATATTAAAAAGATGTCTTGAAAATAAAATCTACTGTTATCAAATGAGTAGTGTACTGTGAAGTTTGTTTGCTAATGATTTCAGCAAAGATTAAAAATTACATCCGGGGCCTGAGCTGATTTGGAGAACCTCAGCTTCTATTAGTTTCTTCCCCTGGTCTGAGTTCCTCATACCCATATTGTACAGACTGCTAAATTCTCTAGAGCTACTTCAATTTTCTCAGGCATCATTTCATTGTTATTCTTTTAGTACGGCGGTTGTTATACTTGTATACAAATGATTTGGCAGGCCATAATATCTGTACAATTTCACGTAGACCTGAGAATTGCAGTTCCCAGTTGTTTTACTTACACCGCCCTTGGCATTGAGGGAAGACTAAAAATGACAATAGCATTTTCATGAATCAATCACCTGCTATTTTTGACTCCTCAAATTATTCATGACACAATGTTGCCATGTAAAACTTAAAAAAAAATATCCTGCTTTTCCTATTTGATAATACTTCTGCACCAATCTGATATCTGGTTGAACAGCCTCTTGGAGATGCAATACATTATAAAAATCATCATGTGATCAAGCTACTGGAGGAACATGGTGCCGAGCCTCCTGTAAGTTTTACATTCCGTTCTATTTACTCATCCAGTAATTAACAAGAAAAACTAAGAAATAAAAAATTTGTTTTCATAGAAGAATTTGCTTGGCTTTATTGCTATCTAACTTTGTTTTGGCAAAATAAAATTCCCATCCAGATGGCACCCATGCATGTCAATAATTCACGTGAAGTTCCAGAATATGAGATTGATGCTAAAGAACTTGATTTCACGAACAGCATTGAATTGACCAAGGTAAATATTTTGTTTATACTCTGGTGGCTAGCAGAATTTTGTGTTTGTTATTTTAGGGGGTTCGCCATGCCTCTGTGCCAGAGTCTACACATTGCAATATTCTTTTTCCCTGTCTCTTATTTTCGCTTTAATTTTTGGCATTGTACTAGTCTTTTTCGGTGATATCTTTGTCTTTAACTAATCTGGTATGGGTTTTGGTAGTAACATATATGAATACTTGTTATAGATTTGCATTGATGTTGTCATAGTAGCCCAACAAGTCCAGTAAATTACCTTGTCTTTGAGTTGTGAATGTTATGTGACTCAAGCTATAGACTTATTATATTGTTCTTCATAGAAGGGTCAGCCACCTGTGTGACAGCTGCATAAGGTTCGACTGCAGCTGCTGTACCCAGAAAACAAACCAGCTACAAAGTTATCAAGAAAGTTAAATAAAAAGAGTTCCAGTTACAAGCAACATACAGTTAATAGGAGGTGCCTAAACACAGATGTCAAATGAGAAATGTTAACTTGAGCCTCTAATGAGTATCAGTCCTGTAATGGATGATTGAACTATTCTATTAAGAAGTTTCTAATGTTGAAATTGATTCCGTAGTCTTCCACACACTATATTGCGTGGTTTGCCTATTGTTGAGGGGTTTCGTACCTTAGAAGATCAGGTAAAGTGAACTGAGTGTATTGATGTAATCTAAATTGGAATTCAGAGTTCAAGTATGGCCCATGAATGAGAAGGGAAGAAAAGAGGAGTGAGAATGGAGGATCATAAGAAAAAGTAACAAACCATTCTCGGGACCTTTTAACTCTGCTATCCAACCCTCCGAATGAACATTGTTCAAAAGAAAGAGATAGCAGAAGATGTATATAAGACGTGAAAGACAAAAGCTCCATCATTATTAGCTACAGAAGAGGGCATCTATCATTGTTGCATGGATTGCGAACAGATAAAATGATAACACTTCAGATAAATTTGATTGGTGATTAGCTATTTGTCTGCAAGGCGTTGGTCTAGTGGTAAGAGCACAACACATGATGTGTGGGCACGGTTTTGAAACCTTGCTGCGGACAAAAGCCTGGTATTTAAGTGACGAAGGGTAGAGGAGGACCCATTATCTACCGAGACTGTGCGCCTATGGCTCTCGAGGGTTTGTCGTTTTCAAAAGAATTAGCTATTTTCAATGGGCTAGGTATGGTGATTTTCCTTACAAAATACTGTCTGTTAACCTATTATCTTGGAAGATTCTAGTGAAAAGTTTACAATCCCAATTAAATTGAGTAGGCACCTTAGGTTTTAATATTATGCTAATACGATGATAGATCATTAGAGCCACAGTTGCATGATAAAAAAATTTAGAACTATAAAGTTTTTAGAGGTGAGGTACTCATTTCTTTCATTGAGCAACTTTGGCCCCATGTGCATCCATAGTCTGATAGAAGAGTTGATTAATGGGATGAGAATACAGACACAAGTTTTTATAGGTAAGACCCCAAGGAGATGGCTTATAGTTGAGGCAGCGGAGACAAACCAAGATATCCTAGGTTCGAATTCCCAGTTTAATGCTCAGTGCAAGCCCATTTGCTTTAACCTTGGTAGGTATACTGTTGGAGGTGACCAGGTGGCCGGTAGACTAGCTGAGACGCGGGCCCAGACAGTAGCTCCGAAAAAATAAATATAAAGGGAGAAAAGAAATGAAAAAGAAACATTTATGAGGTAAGATCACTAAAGGATACCAAATGTAGCTGCTCGATCACATCTTTGCTTGATCTGATGAGAGCTGCTCAGTTACTAAGGATAAGTTGATCTTCATCTTCTTCTTTGTTTCTGTCATTAGAAATCCTCTGATTGATGTGGTATGTTTGGAAAAAGCTGGGAATGTTCGTCTGATTCTTTTCGTATTCGGCTAGTATATCGCTCCAATCTTCAACTTTTGCTTTTTTATCTTTCTGATGATTCCTGAGATATTGTAGGGAACGTTCCATATTGCCTCGTGGCGTGGAATACAAGTTGCTGTTAAAAAATTCGGAGAGGATGTGATTGCTGATGAGGATAAAGTGTGAGTATAAAATATCAATATTTCTTCTATGGCATTATGAGAATGGAAAAGCCATAAGAGCTTCTTCGCATTGTTTAGCTCTCCTCATACCTCGCTTATTTTATTACATTTTCTAAATATTCGGATTTTTACAGGACGGCATTCAGAGATGAGCTTGCACTGCTCCAGAAGATAAGACATCCAAATGTCATCCAATTTCTTGGTGCTGTAACACAAAGCAGCCCGATGATGATAGTGACAGAATACTTACCAAAAGTAATCCCAATTTTTTTTTTCTTGTTTTTGCTTTATCTAAACCTGTTGTGGCGTGCATGGTTATGTTTCAGAACATTTCACTAGACAGTGAACTTTTCAGTTATTCAACCTATTTGTCTTAGTTGATTCCTTTCTCCATTTTGTTGTTTTATTGCAAAAGCAATACCATTGTTACTAATTACCTTTTCATGGCTATATATTTCCAGGGTGATCTCCATGCATATTTGAAGAAAGAAGGACCTCTTAGACCAACCAAGGCTATCAGATTTGCAATGGACATCGCAAGGTTCACAAGCCACCCTGTGCTATTAGCTAATGTTATAAACTGACTACGTAATTACAAGACCAATTGTATAAATGTCTGGAACCTAGGGAACTATGTGGAGTAACATGTGAATCCATAACAACTTGCATCTTTCTTAGTTTCAAAAAGTAAGCACTCTTTGGGAGGCAAAGCAAGATATCGGACTGCTGTTGATTATACTTTTTGAGTAAATTTGCTGCTTAATGCATCTAATTATTACCGTCTATTGTGTTTCTAAAAGATCCCATCTAGTGCTTTCATATCCACTGAAAATATGGAAAGAAAGAAGAAAAAGAAAATACAAGAAAAGAGAAGATAATACTTGTTAATTGTTATTGGACTTGCCACATTTTCCTCAATTGTGGGCTATCTGCTGACCTAATATTGTAGTGCCCTGCATATCTCATTTTTCTGCATTTAGCTTTAAGCAGACCCTAGGTATCTCAAATAGGATGTATTTAGTAAACAAAAAAGCGAAAAACAAATATTGAGAAACACTGTTTGCTTTTGCCATCAGACAAAGTTGACATGAAAAAGTTACTCTTGGTCATAGTTCTTCTCGTCCAACTTTGGATGGTTACAATCACATATCCTATCCTTAGTGCCACTCTTTCGACATTGCAAAGTGGTAAACATCATATGATATTACTCTCTACTTCCCACTTTTCTTATCTGCTTTCAACGTCCTAGCTAAAAATTATGACCTCTCATATAATGGAAAAATTAACCAATTCTTAAAATTCCATTAGTACAACAGTAGTACCCTGTATTACTTCAAATATGATATGATATCTTTATACTCATTTCATGTTCTCTTACCATTTAACATGTATGTATGAAACACAAATAGAATAAATCCTTGTAATCTTTTCTCAAAAATAAATCATTGGAATCACTCTTAAACTTTTGCAAGAGTTAACCGCTCAAACCAATTGGAATGGAGCACTAAGGATTTCTTCACAAGTTCTTGCCTAGTTCCATTAAAATTTAGGTTTCCATTCATGGGAATTCCCCCAGCTGTTAGGCATGTGAAACATTTGATTGTATTTATTTCTTTCCAATCAGCTCATACTTGTTATTTACTCAAATAATTTTATCAAACATACTGTTCATGTTCATATAGAATTGAAGCTTGCCTTTGATTACCCCGATGCATGACCTGCGTAAGTAGAATATGGTTCTAACACTCTTGCATTTTATATGGTTGCAGGGGACTGAACTATCTACATGAAATTAGACCTGAAGCAATTATTCATCGTGACCTAGAGCCTTCGTAAGTTTTCCCCTTTGGTTAGGTCTCATTTGACTCCATTTGCTTATGCCAATTCCTATCCAAGTTTTTGTTGACTAGTCTCAACTTTTGAAGCTTTCCTCCTTAAAAATTGAGTGATTTCATCTTAATATTTTAATATTTTCATTTGATATAACAGAAATATTTTACGGGATGACACTGGACATCTGAAAGTTGCTGATTTTGGAGTCAGCAAGCTACTGAAAGTTACCAACAGGGTCAAAGAAGATAAGCCTCTGACATGTGATGACACTTCTTGTGAGTACTGCTTCTTTCGGATATCACAGTGATTCTTTTCAAATGGAAAGCCATGCTGACATTTGACAACAGCCTCAAACAGAAGTTGTGATACTGTTTTTGCTGCTTGTTATGGACGTAAAATTCCTGCGGCAGCATTGCATCGTGCCACAAAATTTTGCTTCTACTGATCTGTTTCTATTGATTGATATTGCTGAAAGATTGATACTTAGAAATCTTATAACCCTTTCCTCTTTGCTTTTTGTTTAGGTCGATATGTAGCTCCGGAGGTTTTCAAAAATGAGGAATATGATACCAAAGTTGATGTCTTTTCCTTTGCTTTAATTTTGCAAGAGGTAATTCTTTTTTCCTTCTAATTTACAGGATGTAAGAAAGGACAATTTTTTTGTTCATCCATCGTGGATACGGACGATATGTATAAAATATAAATGTTCAAATGCATTTATCTTGATTAACACGCTCATTTTGAAGGGAGTTTCCATTATTGAGAGAACATGTTGGAGAAGGGGTTGATAGTTGATGGTCACTATTAGGCCGTTTTGTCTGTTTAGAGAGTTACTGTAGGTTTTGAATGTACTTTTGATCAATAAAGGCATTCTTTTGCACCACTCTAGTCCACGAAAGAGAAAATAAAACCTTGCACATAATTGAGATTCCATATATCCATTCTGACTTAATCTTAGTGTCTTTTCCTTCATGACTTTGACCTTTTATAATCCTTAATATAGTTTCTTTTCGACATTCTTCCCATGCAATACAATCAAGAGGAGATTTATTATGGTGCAATAAACAAGCAATGTAATTAGCTTTCCTTTTAAAAATTAATCTCTTTAGTGAACTCTTGCTAACTTAAGGGAGAATTCTTAAAATTGGTTTTTAGTATGCAATTGATTGTTATTTGGAGAGTGTAACCATGTGATGAGCAAACTGATTAAAGAACAACTACCTTATGCGAGTTTTATTTTCTTCCATGTAGACAAATCATTTTATCTGGTCTATGATACTGGATATCAGCTAAAACTTCTAAATTATGCCTGATGAACTTTCATAAGTCAAGCATGTGCATATTTGCTATTTTTGTTTCTGCTAACAGGTTAGAATTTTGATAATTGCGCCGTCTTGTACTTTAGATGATTGAAGGCTGCCCTCCTTTCCATGCAAAGATAGAAATTGAAGTACCTAAATTATATACCGCCAAGGAGCGCCCTCCTTTTAAAGCTCCAGGGAAGTTTTATGCTCATGGACTTAGAGAGTAAGTTTTTATCATTTTCTCTGTAAAACTGCATATTCTAATAGTAGTAGTAGTAGTAACTTATGCAATGCGCATGCAATTCTGTATTCTCATTGAATTTAAGAAAAGCATGACTATTAAGATAACAAGTAAAATTTGAAATTTGAGAGTAGGAAAGGAATAGATTTACATGCATGGAAAGTAACAAAAAATTGATCCTATTACTAATAATGAAGTTCCAAATGCTCCAAAATTTAGCATATAAGCTTGTTCAAAATACATTTCTTAATCTTGTTCTAATATATAAAATCGTTGAAACTGTGTAGAAAATTAAATCCACTAGTAGTTTCTTAGTGTAAATTTATTCATGCATGGATTAAGTTAACATGTGTGAAAAGAGTAAGAATAACAACAAAATTACACTGCAGAATAAGAAAAGGAGATATTGTACAGAGGCAAATTTAAATGGAGAAAGAGATGGATAGATGAAACGTAAAGTCTTCAATAGTAAATACAACGATTTTGACTGGTGGGGACATGTATCTATAGTAGATCATATGTGAATTATCAAATTTAACAGTAAATGAACTGGTAAAGCAATTGGACGGAATTGTACAAATGGCACAAAAACAAAAGGAAAAAAGATAAAAATTCTAACTAAGCAGTGTATGCTCTTTAATCAGTCAACATGAAAGTTCTAACTTTTGAATGTTTTAAACTGATAACTTCTCTGATAACTATGTGAAAGAGACATATCTGTTTGTATGTCCATGGGAAAGAGTTGTAGCTTAGGTCTGAAAATTGTTTAATGATGATTAACACCTAGTGGTAATATTGTCTACTTATCTCTTTAACTTTCTGTTGTTTTCATAAAAGCCAGAAGAAGACAGACCCAATGTGCATGTTGCCTTTATGATTAATAGGTTATACAACATTCATTAGTTAAAATTTCTTTTTAAGTGCCCAGAACACCGCTTAATGTGATACGTGGAAAGTTTTCACAGCGAAGGTCCATATATCCGACGTTCTGGGTGAAATGACCATCATTTCTCTGTGTGAAACTTTGTGGAGGATCTAAAATGATGGTGGACATTGGTATGCAATTTATGAAGGGAAAGTATAGGTATAAAATTGAAAGAAAAGGAAGCAGATTCCAGATGTCAACTCCCCATACCTAAATGGATTAATGGAAGAGAACTATTTGAATAATAGTAGGGTTTGGATTAATCTGTAACATTTTTCATTCTACTTATTCTACAGTTAACTATGTTTTACAACGGTAGTTCTGTATTTGATACTTTATCAGATATTTGGTTTCCTGTGAATTACTTTCTTTATTTCCAAAGTATAATTTTTACGGTTACAAAATCATCACTCGACTGTTGTTAGTACTGCTGAAAATCAGAGCTGACTTTGGGTTTTCCAGGCTGATTGAAGAGTGCTGGAATGAGAAGCCGGCCCTGCGTCCAACTTTCAAGCAAATCATCCCAAGGCTTGAGTCTATTTACAACAAATTTGGCCACAAAAGGCGTTGGAAGGTAAACCCTTCAGTCATCATGCTCTTTTTTACCATCTCTATGCGCTTAAGTGGTGTTCAGTGCATATGTATTTTGAACTTTCATATTCGGGTCAATGAGATAAACTATTTGCCAAGTTCTAGTCAAACAGAGATGTATTACCTAATCACTTGAGCGTCAGTGATTGGGTAAGTAGTTCCTATACATTCCGTTCACCTGCCCATGCTTCAATTGGCAGATAAAAACATGCTTTTTCTAGTTGATTAGAGTCTCTCTTTCGTTTTCTGCTGATTGTCATATTCTTCATACCTGGTACTAGAGGACAAGCCGGTGCTTTTGAAACTGTTTCATTTCATCTTTTCTCCCTTCATACTTGTGTCATTCACATAGCCAAGGGTGATAGGCAATCTTTTCTTAGGCTTAACGTTTACTTTAGTCTCAGCAATGGCCTGTCTTGTGTTTTGGAAATATAGTTCTGTTGCTACTTCAATGCCCCTTTAATAATTCTGAGTTAAGCATAGATCTCTCTTTTCATCCTGTATATGCAGGTTAGACCATTGAAATGTTTTCAAAATTTCGAGGCTATGTGGAAGAAGGATCACTCAAGTTTAAGTAGCCGGAATGGCGGCTCATCTCGATCAAACAGCAGCATCTAGCAAATTGTGGATATTTCCTTAGTATAAGTGTGCATATGTTTCCTTCTCAGATTTCTGATAAAGATTCAGTAATAGGAAGTTGTATCACTTTTTCTAGTTTTAAGTCAAATCTCTCCCTGTCATTGAGGATGTCCAAAACAAATGGTCATCCTTTTTTGCTTTGCCTCTTTCTATTGTTATCTATATTGTTTATGTACATCATATTTTATCACAAGTGTGTTAATTGTGCAAATTCTGTACTTTTTCCTCTTTGTTTTGTGGAAGCAAGCAAATAACAAATTGACTTGAAAGTTGAAGGCATCCCATCAAATTATATTTTTCTTCTCTTTGGTATAAAACATCTATTTTTTCAAGATTAAAAGGTCGTAATGTGTTCCTTGAGTGAAAGATTACATAATTCTAGTCCATTGAATAACAGAGCTTAGTAAGATGATTACGGGATGATAAAAAGGGAACTTTTACTTATTTGATTCTCATTTTAAATTTGTGAAATAATTGATATTAATTTGAATTTAAAATCTTACAACTTTAATGTAAAATAAATTTTAAGTTGGATGATCAAATAGACTCCTCCCCCAAGTAAACAAGGGGAAAAGGGCAAATTCTTAGAAACATTCCCAAAGGTTAAGGTTAAGGTATCTCTCTCTCTTACTTCTCAAGATTTAGGTTGAGGCTTCTCTCTTCCCAAAGATTTAGGTCAAGGCATCTTTCTGAGGTCCAGTCTTTATACAACCTATGGTGGGGACCCTGACCATAAGCAGCAAAGCCACATAATAAATTGACTACAAAAATCCTATTGAGAACACCATACATATTGTTAGCTAAATTAGTTAAGTTTTCATCATGTAGGACCACACTAACTTTAGAAATGCTTTCCCAATATAGAAATACAACGAATACTTGACAAATTCTTGATAGATGGTCCGAAATTCACTCTTAATTCTATGGTATTTTGCCTCTCTAGTCTTTTCACTTAGCGCCCTTAAGCATAATCCCAACTGGTTTAAAAAGTTGCTTAACTAATTTTTTTATTTTTTTTTTATTCTATGCCGAAATAAATGCAAACACATTCATATCAGTCCAAATCTTATTATTAAGTTTTTGTTCAAAATTAGTATAAGATGCCCTTTTAGTCAAATTTCCATTAGCTGATCGAGAAGCTAAATAGAAAAGTGTTTCATGGTTTGGTTGTGGAGCACTTCCGTCTTCCTAACATGGTTTTGCAAGTAGCCACTTGATATGTTACCCAACAAGGTAGACTAGCTATGGCCAAGGTTTTGTTGGTGCACTCTGTTCAATATGTTTTCGGCAATACTTGTCTTATGAGCTAATTTTGGGTATGAGTTAAGCGCAGAATATCACTTTTTAAGATGGTATCCGAATCAAATTTGTTAGGTTCGATAAATCGAGTAGTGCGGAATTTAGCCAAACAATGTTATAATGACAATAATAAAGACAATGCAAGTTGATAATAACGGCAATTAAAGAAGATAAAGAAGACACAAATTTAACGTGGTTCGGTCAAGGTGACCTACGTCCACAAGCGGAGAGGAGCAATTTCACTATACCAACAAGAGTACAAAAGAGAGTACAAATTTAGTGTAAATACTCTAATTAGTCCCAAATACCCCAAGATATTAACCTCACAAGATCACTCCAAAGAAAGGGTTCACACAAGTGTTTCCCAACACTCACTCTCTTACAAAATACTCTATAATGAAATAAAGGAGGAGAAAGAAAGACAAGAGTGCAAACCTCTTGAATTGGTGTGTTTACAAATGGGAGAAACTCCTCTATTTATAGCAAGAAATCCTTAGCCTAATAGTGGATATTATGTCATGGCAAATGTCATGATCCATAAATTTTATTATAGTGGGTATTATGTCATGGCAAATGTCATGAAAATTTGGCCCCCACTTGAGAAGAAGCCAAATTAATGGCCATATTACAAATCTCCATCTTGGCCTAATTTCGGCTTATATATAGTAAATTTGCTCCACCTTCTCCGCAAAAACCCCAATGGGTAAAATCATTCTTCATAAATGCCAATCAATTTCAAGCAAATCTTGAACTTGGACACTGGAAGAGATTTTGTGAACATGTCAGCAGGATTGTCTCTAGTGCTGATCTTCTGAATAGAGACTTTTCTTTCAGCAATGGTTTCTCGGATGAAATGATACTTTATATCAATGTGCTTCGTCCTCTCATGATACATTTGATTTTTAGTCAAGTGAATGGCACTTTGACTATCACAGAAAATAGTAATACCACCTTGGTGTAAACTGAGTTCCGCAAATAGACCCATCAACCATAAAGCTTCTTTAATCGCCTCGGTCACTGCCATATATTCTGCTTCGGTAGTAGATAAAGCTACTACATATTGTAATGTAGATTTCCAACTAATAGCGCAGCCACTGATGCAAAATACCTAGCATGTCAGTGATCTTCTTTTGTCAAGATCACCTGCATAATTTGAGTCTACAAAACCAACCAAAGTGTTAGTATTTCTCCCAAACTCCAAACATGTGTTTGAAGTACCTCGCAAGTATCTAAGAATCCATTTCACAGCATGCCAATATGCTTTACCAGGGCAAGCCATATACTGGCTTACCACACTCACTGCTTGTGAAATGTCCGGACGTGTACAAACCATTGCATACATAATATTGCCGACTGTACTGGAATAAGAAACCTGTGCCATATACCTCTCTTCTTCCTTTGACTGCGGGGACTGAGCAGCTGATAACTTAAAATGAGCAGGAAGAGGGATACTAACTGGTTTAGCATCTTTCATGCCAAACCTCTCTAAGAATTTTTCCAAGTGCTTCTTCTAGGTCAGAATTATCCTGTTGGCTTTTCGATCTCTTTTGATCTCCATGCCAAGGATTTTCTTAGCTGCTCCCAAATCTTTCATTTCAAATTCACTTTTCAGCTGACTTTTTAAATTGTTAATTTCTGTTAAATCCTTAGCAGCAATGAGCATGTCATCAACATATAATAATAGGTACACAAATAAACCATCATTTAACTTCCGTAAGCAAACACAACTATCATACATGCTCCTCTGACCCAACATAAAGGAATCAAACCTTTTATACCATTGTCTTGGAGACTGCTTTAATCCATACAAGGATTTCTTCAACAAGCAAACATGATCTTCTTTTCCTTCAATTTCAAATCCTTCGGGTTGACGCATATATATTTGTTCCTCAAGTTTGCCATGCAAGAAAGCGGTCTTAACATCAAGTTGTTCTAATTCCAAATCATACATGGCAACGAAGGCAAGCAAGATACGAATAGAGCTATGTTTAACAACAGGTGAGAAAATATCATTAAAATCAACTCCTTGTACCTGACTATAGCCCTTTGCAACTAATCGTGCCTTATGCCTCGCATCTTCAACCCCTGGAATGCCATCCTTTTTCTTGAAGACCCATTTGCAACCAACAATTCTTTTTCCTGATGGCGGCTTCACAAGAGACCAAGTACCATTCTTGTGGAGAGACTCAATTTCTTCATTCATTGCAATCAGCCGTTTGACTGAGTCAGCACCAGAAACTGCTTCTGAATATTTTGATGGTTCTTCAATTTCTTCAGTTTCCTGTGCAACTGAAAAAGCAAATGCAACATAATCTCCAAACCTTAATGGTTGTTTACCTTCTCTTCTTGGTCTATGTTTGGCTATAAGATACTCCTCTTCTTCTGGTTAAATTTCAGGAGTCTCAACTTCAGGAATTTCAGCTTCTGGCTCAACTTCAGGAGTTTCAATTGTATTTTGCTCCAAAATTGATGAGCTTGGCTCAGAAAGAATGCCAATCTCAACCTTCACTTGCTTCTGTGTACTCTTTCCTTTATCTATATTACAAGAACTAGAAGACTCTTTTCTAGAATGTAACATAGATGATTCATCAAAGGTTACATCTCTGCTAATTATAAATTTTGATGTCGTGTGATCAGTATACCATAGTCGGTATCCTTTCACCCCAGATGCATACCCAAGAAAAATGCACTTTTTAGCCCTTGGCTCTAATTTTTCATCATTTATATGCATGTATGCAGGGCAGCCAAATATCTTTAAATCAGAATAATTAGCAGGAGTACCTGACCATATTTTCTCTGGAGTCTTAAAGTTCAAAGGTGCAGAAGGAGCTCAGTTGACAATATAACGAGCTGTAGAGATAGCTTCTGCCCAAAAGGCATTTGTCAACCTAACATTTGAAATTATGCAATTAGCCCTTTCCAAAAGAGTTCTATTCATCCTTTCTGCCACACCATTTTGCTGAGGTGTCATTCTCACAGTACGATGTCGAGCAATTCCTTCATTCTTGCAAAATTCGTTGAATTCATCATTACAAAATTCCAAGCCATTATCTGTTCTAAGCCGCTTAACCTGTTTTCCTGTTTGCTTCTCAATCAAAACTTTCCATTGTTTGAAATTTAAGAAAACATCACTTTTATTTTTCAGGAAATAAACCCAAACTTTCCTTGAATAATCATCAATGAAAGTTAACATATACCTGGCACCACCTTTTGATGGGGTACGTGAAGGACCCCAAAGATCTGAATGAATGTAATCCAAAGTATCTTTTGTTCTATGAATCAGTGGAGATTTGAAACTGACTCTTTTCTGCTTTCCGAACACACAATGTTCACAAAACTCCATATTTCCGGTACTTTGGCCATATAAGAGGCCTCTTTTGCTGAGGATGGAAAGACCCTTTTCACTCATATGCCCCCAATCGCACATGCCACAATTTGGTGATGTCAGAATCTGATTTATCTGATATTGAAACTGCAGTAGCACCTGTAACAGTAGATCCCAAAAGAGCATACAACGTACCAGATCTGCGTGCTTTCATGATCACAAGAGCACCATGAGAAACTTTCAGAACTCCACCTTCACGTGTGTACTTGCACCTAAGAGATTCTAGAGTGCCCAAAGAGATGAGATTTTTCTTCACAGGAACATGTCTAACATCGGTGAGAGTTCTCACCACACCATCGTGCATTTTGATTCGGACTGTACCTTTTTCAATAACTTTGCAGGCAGCATTGTTGCCTATCAAGACAACTCCACCTCTAATAGATTCATATGTGATAAATAAATTCCGATTGGGAAACATATGATAAGAACAACCCGAATCTAAAATCCACTCATTGTTAGATTTGAAACTACTATTAGTTGCTAAAAAAATAGTTCCCTCAGTCTCATCAGTAGCTACACTTGTTTCGGCAGTGTCAGTATTT